TACTTAAAAGGGAAAAAAACATTTTTAAAAGGAAATTCTACGAACATATCGAAATTATTAAAACTAAAGAAACACACAGAATGAACTTAAATACTGGTACTGTCATAAATGACATCTGGCAGCCTTTCCTAAGATGCAAAGCCCATTAAAGTTGTCCTACCATCCTCCCACCTTAACCCCCACTGTGCAATTCCCACCAACCTCTGTATATGTTACAAGGATCCCTCACTTCTTTGTAACATCTTCCATCAGACCTGTCCTCTACACATCTCTTCTGTATTTGTCACATCCTACAGGTATTCCGTTAATTTTTCATAATTTACACCTTTTTAATATACACTTTTTTAGTTTTGTGCATACCACTTTTTATTTTAACACACATTATACTATCCTCAGGTGCATGTATATTGATCTGATAGCACTATTTGCTCATTCCTCCTCCCGTGTTTAAATATGTGTATATATATCTTATGTGTAATACCAGCTTAATGGTCACTATCTCAGGTAATTGTATTTTATCATATAAATCACTGTACGCGTATACTAATTTTTTAAATGAATTCTGTAAATTTTGATACCTGTAACCAATTTGATAATTATGTAATAATAATAGGACTGAAGAGGGGCATTAAGCCCGAAATGCATATCCGTCCAAGTCAATAAAGCAACCTTTTTCCTCTTAAAGTGTTCCTGTATGATACGTTCTCAACAGCAACATTGTGCTAACCAAACACATATAATAGAGAACAACAAGCAACCTTGATTCATGTTATATATATATTTATTATATTTGTAAATTTTACATATGTTGAAATTTTAAAAAATTTTATTATCAAAAAATGCAAAAATTTTATTGTAATAAAATTTTGTTGCTCTAGAACAATTTTTTTTCAACAAGACAACCACTGCCTCCCCTGTCAATTTTGTCCTGCTTCATCAATGTTAAAATCTTGTCACCTTATATTAAAAGGTTATAATTTAACCTTTTAATATAAGTTGACAAGATTTTATATTGAAAATATAATTTAAAATGAATATTTGAATATATTTTGAATTACAAAACGACTTCTAATAACTTAACACGGTGTTGAGTAATAACAATCCACGAAACCTTTTTATAACAGTGTTGTCTCTGTAACAAACTTCACAAAGGCCAAACTTCATCTAGAGGCCTGGGAGATTTATAAAGCCAACATTGGGGGCACCTGCATCAACTTTAAAGACAGTGAAATGATTGTGCAGGTGTGGAGGTACTTGTTCGAAGAATTCGAACTGGGACAAGCAGAGGGGTGAAACGCAATATGCGCAATTATTTACATCTCGGGCGCCATCATTCCAATGGTCAAGAGGAGACACCGTTCAGTCACCACCTGAAGCAGACCTCGGTGGAGGTCGAAAATGTTTATGAAGTTTGTTATGGAGACAACACTGTTATAAAAAGGTTTAGTGGATTGTTATTTTGAATTATAAAAACAAGTGTAATCATACTAAATAACATTTCAAAATTAAATTACAGATAGATATAAAATTAATTTTCTAAATTTACCAGAATAACTTGTTTCTGGTGTATTTATATCTGCATGTGCATCCACAAATAAGACACCAATATTTGGTTTGGAATGATGATGTCCAAGTATACTTCCCACAGCTAAGCTATGATCTCCTCCAAGAGTTAGACATTTCTTACCATCCTGTATAATTTTATTGACTTTTTCAGCTAACTAAAAATATTAAAAAATAATAAGCAAAAATTTAAAAATTGTAATTTTAAAAGTTATTTTTAGAATTAATTTTCTTTAATTTATAATCATTCTGTAATTAACTCCATGAATATTTAAGATATTTTAAAATAATTATGAAAATATTAAATGCCTGCATAAAATTTATAAATGAACATTTGATGACAACTGTTTTAACATATCTCTCTCTCCTTCTCAGCAATGTTAATTATAATATATGAACCACCTGAATTCTACTTGACAAGTTTTTTTCTCTTTATTCAAACGTTTTCAGCCTATTTGGATAGGCCATCCTCAGGTTTTCCATTATTGTTCCAAAATGGAACCATTCAAATCAAAGTAAAATTCAAACGAATGGTTCCATTTTGGAACGATAATGGAAAACCTGAGGATGGCCTATCCAAATAGGCTGAAAACGTTTGAATAAAGAGAAAAAACTTGGCAAATAGAATTCAGGTGTGTTCATATATTATAATGTTTTAACATATTTGATTCAGATTTCACTATCTACTGGTTCAAAATATCTTATGGCTGAAATACATACATGACTCATATATAGTAAACATGTTTACTATATATGAGTCATGTATGTATTTCAGCCATAAGATATTTTGAACCAGTAGATAGTGAAATCTGAATCAATTTTAGAATTTGACTGGATTCAAAATTATAAAATATAGAAAATTAACAAAATTAATCCAAGCTCAATAAAATTAAAACAGTAAACAGTGCATATAAAAAACAAGTTCTGATATTAAATATAACCAATACATAAATTCAGAAATACATATTTAAATACATATTTGCCATGTGTTAAACTTGTGTGTCTTTCTATAGTGTATATATATAGTAAACATGTTTACCATATATACTATAGAGAGTTTAACACATGGCAAATATGTATTTCTTAATTTATGTATTGATTATATTTAATACCAGAACTTGTTTTTTATATGCACTGTTTACTGTTTTAATTTTATTGAGCTTGGATTAATTTTGTTAATTTTCTGTATTTTATAATTTTGAATCCATTCAAATTCTAAAATTTTGCTTTATAGCATTCAATAGTAGTAATGTACAGTACAGTACCTGGATATAGCTATGGAAAGATTTGTGTAGTATTAAAATTTCAACTGTTGGATTGAGACATAATTCAATGATAATATAATCTAGTTAAAAATAGAAAAAAACCTTAGCATTTGTATTTAATATTTTCATAGTATATTAGCATTTTGTAACTACTGTAATCCGGCCTATAATCCATAGATATATTAAAACATTTGAATATTGATGGTATGATTACCAGTTGCTGTGTATAATCTGAAGCAATTTTTCCATATCAAACAATGGCCCTAAGATCATTTTACTGTTTGATATATTAAGAAGTCTTTTTGATGTGATAAAATGTGAGAATGACTTGTTTTTTGTGTTGAATGGATGCAAAAGACAAAAGGTGCCAACAGACCCTTTCACTTCCACTTGTGACTAGAAAATAATGTTACTTACATATCTGTGGTCCTCAGATAAACATCTTCAAGCCAATATTTGTATAAAAAGCTTTAAGCTTAGATAGATAATCATTATGAATTAATAGCATCCAACAAAAAAGTGGATTTCAGATTGAGAAAGCTCTTTCTAGTAATGGCCATTAGAAGGAAATTTAATTAAGAAACACTAGACAGAAATGTAATAGTTTACAATCTTAAGTGCACAACACTGCAATACACTAACAGCCGTATTCTGTAGGCTGGGTTAGAATTAAAGAAAATATTAAATCTAGAGTTTGCAAGAAATTGGCATTCACAAAGTTGAGTAATCCTAACAGATTCAGTTTAAATCACTAATCTTCTTGAGTGGCAGGTTGAGTTAAAATTGAGAATTGATACTTGCACAATAGTGCAATCATTTTAAAATGGCAACCTACATAGTGAAGACAAGGAAATGATAGAAAATTTAGAATATTTGAAATATTTGTAATACTTTCAATGTCAACATCATGATTTCTGTATAGGAAAATGTAATGGTGAAAGAAGAAATGCTTTGGAACAATTGAGTGAAGGTGAATTTATTTCTGAATAGGTCTGTTCATAAATTACACCCATTTTTCTTGAAATCTTTACTCCCCCATTGTCCCAGTTTGTCCAAGTTTCCATAATCCCCTCCCCTCTTCAAATGTCCAACAAAACTTAACCTCTCTCAAAACCTGTATCATTTTATGAATAATAAAAATGATGAACTCTATAAAATTAAATGAGATAAAATAGACATCCATTGAAGTTCAACCCCTCCCCATCTTGTGTGATTTGTCATAACCCCCCTTTCTTCCAGTGTGGATGTCATTTATGGACAGCCCATACCATATAAAAAAGGATACAGTAGGATGTTTATTATGTCAATTTGGTAAAAAACTTCAACAACAATGTTCAAGAAAAATATTATGACATCTCTAGAACAAATTCTTATAGCTTTGTTTATGCTTTCCGACTAATATTAGTAGTAATTCTTTCTCAAAATTGCTGAAATTACAACATGCATTAATATCCATTTGTGTTTCTGCCATTTTCTGTGTACACATTTTATTGCAACCAATCAAGAATCTGCTTACAAAAGAAGACTTATTTAATCTCAAATGCAGGATTGTTTTAAAACAATAAAAACCATTGAACACTGGTAGTTGGTCATGGGTTTGCATCTTGCCAACAGGCTGCCCATATGGAGTTTTCTGGGTTTTCTTCACATTAGTAACACGTAAGTAAGGACCAGTTTCCCAGAAAATATCTAGGAGGTACAGTACTTCTCTCAGCAGATCACCCATGTGTTGCTTTGATTTATATGAATAAAACCAATCAAAACCTTAGTGCAGGGGTGGCCAAAACGTGGCGCATGCGCCAAACTTGGCGCATTGGACGACTACAAGTGGCGCTTCAGTCGGTTCCGAGCAACATTGCCAGATTTTTTTTTTTTGCTTGTACGTTACACGATGCATTCGTTTTCATGTACACCACTGATGTCATATAGAACTATTTTATACGGGTAGCTACACTACAACCGCATTTTTCATTGCTTGTTCTGTGGCAAATCTGAATTTTCATCTTATAAATTGAAATACCTAAATAAGGGGTGGCCGAAATTTTTCTCCACCCCGAGCTGCTAACACTCACGGTACACCACTGCGCATGTGAACTCGTCTATCAAAAAATTGGTGCATGGTATGCAAAAGGTTGGCCACCCCTGCCTTAGTGCCTTGTTCTTAGAATTTGATCTCCTAGTCTCTTCTATCCCAATCCCAAGTAAGCCTTGGAAACTATTCTGATTTAGGTCTCCTTGAATCTTGAAAATAAATTTTATTTTCACAGTCTTTCTTTTTCCTCTACAGATTTAGGTCTATTCTTGCCTGACTATTCAACAGCTCTTTTAAAGCTCAACTTGATCTCCTTCTCTCCCTTTTATCCATGGATTTTTTCCTCTTCTTTGTCTTGATTGGGACCAATCAGCATACCTTCCCCAGCAACATCTCCAGTTGCACATCCCAAAGAGTCAAACTATAATAGTTGCTTGACCCACTGGACAGCTGAAAGAGTTCTCAGTACAAGCAAGGAAAGAGGCAGGAATTTATAAAAATGATGATATAGATCTGACCTCCATTTACAGGAGAGACATGAGATCAGATAGGTTTAAGAAAGAGAAAGAAGGGATGAACAAATACACATATAACTACTATCAGATTGTAAAGGTAAAATTTAGACATTTTGATTGTTTTCCAGAAACAACTGAAAAAAAAAAAAATGTTTTAGAATGTTTGATGTGGGTATATAAATATTTGATGGGCATTTTGTCACATATTTCATTGAAAATAGATGCATCGGCAATGTCTGGCAATATGAAATTTTTGAAAGAACAGAAAGTGATAGAGCAATAGCATGTAAATAAGTGGCAATAATGCAATGAAGGCTAATGATCTCATCAGCAAGGCATTTGATGCAGATACAAAGCAGGCAGATCTGCTAAAAATGGTTCAAGAAATTCAAGAATGGAGATTTCTCAGTTTAAGATGAATCCCATCCAGGCAGCAATTCCATCATTGATGATGATGTCCTCCTATAAATGATAGGCAATAACCATGGTTGATGACCAGAGAATTAGCACTATAGCTGGAGTGTTCCTATATACTCCAAAATCTGACAAAGTCTGATACCAACATAACAATATACCAGTACATAGAGCAAAAATGATCTTAGAGAAGCTGACCAGTCTATGCTGGGAGGTTCTGCCTCATTCACCTTACAGTCCAGACTTGGCACTAACTGACTCCCATCTATTTCACAACTTGCAGTTCAATGATAATACCTGGCATTTGAGACTTTCTTCACAGAAAAACTCCAGTCATTCTATGCTCATAGAATTGAAAGTTTGCAGCAAAGGTGGCAAGATGTGGTTGATATTGATGGTGGTTATGTGAGGGGCTAAGCCATGGATATGGAGTGGTAAGACTCTAGTATCACTTACTCAGCAACTATTCTCTAGAATAGCCCTCTGTTTGTCTTACAAGGATGGTTTTTCTATTCAAAGAAAATCGAGTGTGGAGTGCTTTAGCTAATGTGTTACTTTAAAAGCAGAATTTTGATGATTGCATAATCACCTTATCCTTATGTCAGGAGTCCCGACACCAGTTAATCAATTTTTTTATACGCGGATTAACACACGTTATCCCTAAACTTGTGAATATCTAACATTAATATTGAAGAAGCCATATTTATATAACAAATCAAAATATTTAATGGATCGAAAATATGAAATTATACAAAAGAATGAATCTAAACCTAATCTTAATTCTAATTCTTAACCTAAGATTATCTCTAAACCTAATGCGTGAGAGAGTTCACAACAATCTATCTCTGGTCATATTACCTTCTTCTTTAGGTCTTTTGTATCTTTTTCTATATCTATTTGAGGGTGTTCTTCCTTCCTTGATTATTTCTCTTCTAATATTTTCTTTGGGAAGTCCTTTTAAGTCTTCTCTTGTATACTTCTTGTATATTTCGAATGTAGTTCTGTTTTATGACTTCCTTTCGGATTCTTATAACAGTCTTGTATGACGATATCTTATCTTGCATGACGGACTGCCTTTCGTATATCGGATTTCCCTGTATGGCAATACCTTGTTCCAACGGACTGCCTCAATGGGCAGGAAATCGTCCCTTTTATTTTCTCCTCAGTAACGTGTGCAAAAGCTCGACTCATCATGAGTTGGCCTGGGAAAGGAAATCAACTTCCTTTCAAAATTGGATGTTTTTCCGTTTTTTAGAAACTTGTTAAAGTTGAAAAACACTAATTTCTCTATTTTTCTTCTTCTTCTTAACTTTGAGAATTTTCAGAATGACCCTCTCTGAATTCTCATAGTTATCTACCAGGCTGAACTGTAAGCATTGTTGAATTAATTATCAATAAAGTTTTTCGAAATGTCTAAATTTCACCATTAAAACCTAATATATAAAAATAAATAAATAGTGATTTAACTGGCAAAATGCCACAGTAGGAGAGAGAAAATGTTAGACTGACAAAGACATAAGAAAACAAAGACTGATATATTATAGAAATTTCTATAAAATACAAAAAGGAAAAAGAAACAATGATAAGTGTCTGTCACAGAGTATTAAAATCATGAGGAATCAATTTTATTTTTTTTTTGTTAGCTCTTATTTAATTTTTATTAATTCACTGTAACCTTATAAAATTGAAAGTAGAGTAGTAATAATCCTGGGGTGAAGAGTAGTAATAATCCTGGGGTGAAGAGTTCTATAGAAAGTTTTTGATTTTTAAAATGCTAATGGCATTATTGGTGCAAACCCAAATTACAGTTAAATATGAATAAACTTATAAGTTATTGCTATATAATTTGTTTAGTGCCTTTAACACATTCACATGATTGGTCAGATTAATGTATTAAGATGATGTTTCTAGTCCACAGATCATGAGTTTGAACCTAGCTTCATACATGGATGTTTGTATTTGCTAGATTTTAATGGGTATTGTTGTCTGGAAATAAATTAAAGCCGCTAATAAGTGACAGTGCATGGAAAATTAACTAATTAACCAATTTTGGCTATTGTAAGTTGGAAGATCAAAAATTCAATGACTATTTTATAATTCTGAATTTTAAATTTTCAATATATTGACTTATAACAAATTGTTTAATTTCTTTCCTAAATTTGAGAGTACTTTTCTTTAATCATTAAACACCTTACGAATTGCTTCATTTCTTTGCTGACATATCAGCAAAGTAAATAATTTGTATATGTTTATATCTTCCTTTATGTGACAATTTTTTTCTCCCAGCAAAAAATTACATTGTGGAATTTGCAAATTGTGTGACAATAAAACCTACTAATGCACCTACAGATTATATGATGCTTTGGATTAGAGGCAGGAAATGATGATAATTAAATATATTAATAGTTTTTATAATAAGACAAAATGATAAATTTTATTTTTTCTACCTTTTCATAAAAGTAATCATTTAAGATTAATAAGTTAGTACAATGATTGTTACTTAATGAAAAAAAACCAGAAATGCAGATTTGCTTATATACAAAATTGATCTTAACATATCTGATTTCTCTTCTTACCTAAGGCAGAAATTCATACCATTACTAATTATTTATGCTCATTCTACTGAATACAACAGAAAATTTATTAAGATATATCAATATGTTATAATTTATTCTTTATGGATACGAAATAATTATTCACTGCCGTGTGTTTCTTAACATAACTATATAACACAAATTGTAGCTGTCATATTTAATTATTATTTTGTAAAATATTTGCTCAGTTAGACTTTATTTAATATTTAATAAAATTAATATTCAATACCCTTTTATTTGCAGTGCCAACAAATTCAGCATTTGCAGTTTTATTTTTTATAAAAGCATCAACATTTTTATTTCTGTCTACTTCAACATTTCCATAGTCTTTCACATCATGTCCTAAAAAAAATGACAGAAATCAAAAGTTACATTATATGTTGTTATATAATTTTAAAAAATATGCTTACCAAGCAATTTCAATTTATCAATTAAGCCAAACTTTCTCAGAACAGTAGGTCCTTCTTCCACTCCCATTTTATTCTATATCAATAAATTGAAAAAAAGAAATTAGATTTTAAAAAATATCTCATTACATGATAAAACAGAAAAAATTAATTTTTACCAATGTTGCTTAGATTATACAGTATATTAATATTTTCTATAGTAATCTAAAGTAGACCTCCTGTAACACAAGTTCATATAATATGGATTCGTATAAAATGGCAAAAAAAATGCAATTGTATTCGCTAAAAGACACTCGTATTAATACGATAAAACGTCATCGCCAACTCGTGTCGCGACAGGATTGGTCGAATCTAGACCAATAGCGAATATTGCACAAACCATTCAGTTTAAAGGAGCAGCGGATCTACTGAAAACCATTTATTATTTAATGGCCATAAAAATTATATTAATGTCTCCAAAGTTCAGCAAATTTTTCACAGAAAAATAACTTATCAGGAAACACGCACCCACTGTTCGATGATCTGCTCCGCTATGAAAACAAGCTTAAGCAATGACATCATCGAACAGTGCATACTTGGTAAGTAATCCTACAATTTTTTGTTTATAGCATAGTTTATATGGATTATACCCCAAAAATTATACTTGTTTTGGAAATGTGGAGTCAAATTAGTCTAGAATCGATTAATTTTATGGAAGAAAACTTTTCAAACAGCCATAGTCTCTAAACTGCATACGTGCTGGGCTGTAATTGGCTCATGTATTTAAGTGACTTGTACAACATGGAATTCATAAAACATGGAATGCATTTACTGTGTTATAAGGGGGTCTACTCTATAAAGAGTAAAACTTTAAGTAAAAGCATATTATTTTACCATCTTTCAATTGTTAAAAGTAGCTTAAAAAAGTAAAATCTTTAGTCTAACTATTGCTACTTTAGGAATATGGCTATTTATTTGGCTTATTGCTATTTGGAAGATCCAGCTTATTTAGAATTAAGAAAACCTGAGGAAGAACCCAGAAGGGGTTATGAAAATGTTTGTTTTTTTTTATTGCTTAGCCATTTACTTTGCACCAGTTATTAATTGTAGTGTGTCTTATCTCCCAGTGTGGTATGCAGATGTGTAAAAAGAAACTATTTTACAATTTGACACTAAATCATTTCCTCCTGATCATTTAAAGCATCCTAATATATTTTTGTTGTCAATAATAATAATTATTAAATGAAAAAAATTAATTTATAGAGATGTTTGTAATTTTTACAGGGTAAGGTTTTTATAAAGGAGTTTTGTAATATTAGCCAGTTATATTTTTGAAACTCAAATATATTTATGAGGTTCAAAAATGTTTTAAGATGTAGTTCCACTCCTTTGAGTTCAATTTGAACTCAAAATATATTTTTGTTGTCAATAATAATAATTATTAAATGAAAAAAATTAATTTATAGAGATGTTTGTAATTTTTACAGGGTAAGGTTTTTATAAAGGAGTTTTGTAATATTAGCCAGTTATATTTTTGAAACTCAAATATATTTATGAGGTTCAAAAATGTTTTAAGATGTAGTTCCACTCCTTTGAGTTCAATTTGAACTCAAAAGATATTTTTGTTGTCAATAATATTACTCCTTTATAAAAACCTTACCTTCTAAAAATAACAAGCATCTCTATAAATTAATTTTTTTCATTTAATAATTAATAAGCAATGTTATTAACATATTAACAATTACCTTGATAAGCAATTAATTAATTCATAAAGCTTAGTCAAACAGAAATTTATAAAATATTTATTTCTAATTGAAGAAAAGTTTTTAAATTTAATCAAACAAAAATTATATATTCTGACAACAATTGATTTAAGAGTGCATTAGCATTATGAGAACAAGTTTACAAAAGTTTATAAAATTGTAGAATATTGAATTTTGTACTTAATATAAGGTGCATTCAAGTTGTAAAGTCTATTATTTTTTCTCTAGGGGAAGGGAACAGGTAGTAACATGAAATTTTTATTAAAAGAAGCGACACTGTTTGTGGTTGGATAACAGAGAAGGTAGCACCACATGGTGCATGGAACTCTAGCAGCAACAGTTTGAGTGAGAGGTGTTTTTGATACTTAAAATGGCAATGTTTTCATTACAAGAACAATGTGTAATCATTCATTTTCTGCACTTGTGTGGAGTGACACACATGCAATGATGGTGTCATGGATGTGAAAAATGTGCATTCATGGGTGTGACAACTCAAAGAAGGGCAAACATCATGTGACAACGAACCGAAATATCCATGTCTGTACACCAGCCAGTCTGACAACATGATTGCATGCATGGAACAAGTTGCTTCACGTACACAATTATGATGTCATCTTGAATTGCTTCCAGCATTGTGAGAAAAATAGTTGGAAAAGGCTGCATGTGTCCTTTTCATCAAGACAATGCTCCAGCTCATCAGGCAATGTTAACACAGGAGTTTCTTCATGAAAACAACTTTGAAGTGGTTTCTCATGCTCCTAGCAATTTTTGGCTTTTTCCAATGATGAAGGACACTCTCTGTGGTCACACATTTTCCAGTCGTGCCGCTCTAGCATCAGCGATTTTCCAGTGGTCAAAACAGACTCTTAAAGAAGTGTTCAGTGGCCATGATGTCATTGTGTTGACATTGTGAAAAATGTGTATGTCTGCAGTGAGATTATGTTGAGAAGTGACAGAAGTTTCAATTTGTTTGTGTAAATATTTTAAAACATTTATGTATTCTATTTAATTGCTATCTGAAGAAATGATTAAACAAGCAAAAAANCATTGTGAAAAATGTGTATGTCTGCAGTGAGATTATGTTGAGAAGTGACAGAAGTTTCAATTTGTTTGTGTAAATATTTTAAAACATTTATGTATTCTATTTAATTGCTATCTGAAGAAATGATTAAACAAGCAAAAAATAAATAAATAAATAAATAATCTGGAATTTCTAAAGGTCGTGGTTTACTTTTTCTACAGTTTAAATACATAATAAGAAAAATAAATCTTTACTTTTCTCATTTAAAAAATATTTTTAGATTTGAAACATTAAATAATTTCTAGTTTTCATAAAACATTTATATAGTATGAAATACTAAACAATCAGGATGTCTCCTTATTGAAATTTTTAAAATTCTCTAATTTTAAACTTACTTGCCCTTCTGCTATTGGCATTCCAATAACTCCAATATTTAATTTATGTTTTACATTTCCAGTTTCTCTACTGCAGTCTGATGTGATGAAATTTACTTTATATAAATTGTGTATTTTTTGAAAATTCTTGAATAAAATTTGATTTGATTTTCTTTGTGCAAACATTGAACATATAATAGAACTGGGATATTTTCTCAGAAAACGTTTTTCCATTTCTTTATTAATCTGAAAAGATATAGCATGAAGTATGAATAATTATGTATAATGAAACTTAAAGATTATATGTGGAATTTATCTGAAAGTGAAATAATGTTGATTATCATAATTTTACTAATACATATATGTTTTTAGAATGATCTAAATTTGTTTGTTCTTTATTTGATAACCATACATTTTTTAAAGTATATAATAATATACTTTATAGCAAATATTAATAATATAAAATACTTCCAACAAATTAAGAAGGCAGTTAATATATTTTTTGAATTTTTTAAATAATATCAATTATCACAGTTTTCTTTTTTATGATTTCTATACACAAGTACATGTTGAAATTTTTCCTGTTTTGAAGTGTCCAATCATATTCTAAATTTCATAAATGAGATTTTTACTTTTGGAAAGGAAAGATATTGACTGAAAACATATCATTTTTGAATTTGAACTTGTGGTATGGTAATTATTTTGAAATTATAACAATTGTTCTAGCTTTTGATTTTTAACCAGGAATAACTTACATTTATTAAGCTGAGTAAGTGATGCTAATTTCTTTTCATTCAAATGTGATTTGATTTAAATAAACTCCTTTGAAACTGCTCAACTGATTTTGCCAAATTTGGGATGGACATCAAGTTTAGGTTAGTGAATGCCATAAGCTATTTAGAATCCTGATCAGATTCTACCCATGATATTCCTCATGGGTAAATTCTGCCATAGACTTAAGCTCAGATTTTGGGTGCTTACAAAGTTTATGCAATTCAGTTCTGTTCACAAGCATAAACAAACACATTATTCAATTTTTCCTTGACATTCCTTGAGTTTTAAACAATTTAACATAAGCTGGAGCTTAAGCTCAATTGTTAACAGTTCTATAATCTCTATGAAACTAATGGTATAAATCAATATAAATAACCTTAACTAGACGTAAATACCAATAAATCAAAAGAAACAAAAGAAATAAAACAAAAACAAACATTTTCTTATGTTTTAAATGGTCATCCTCAGGTTCAAAGAACGTAGATATAAATGAATTAAATTTCTGTTTTATTTTTTAAAAAATTTAAACTTGTATATGTCGCAAAATATGCACATGTCTAATGTATAATATTTAACAATGTGCTTCAAACCAGATGATCATTACTTAACCTTTTCTTAAAAAAAGAGAAGCTTGTTTTTGTTTTATTTCTTTTATTTTTGCTGGTATATTTACATCTAGTTGAAGTTATTTAACTTAATAGTTCTATATTCATTTATATACTCATAAGCACCAAGCCCAAAACCTATTACATATGAACTGAATTGATCATTCTGAAACAAGGTTGGTTGGAGTTGTTGGAGTTAAGTTACATAATCAGCCATTAAATCAAATATCATTGCTTTTATTTTTAACACACTAAATAAATTCTAACTTTAAGCCTAAATCTCATTCAGCTCAATTTGCAAGCATTGAAAATAACAAGTACAATCCTAATATAAATTATAGTGTGTGATATATAATCCAATAAACTGAAAGCTTTTAATACCCTCTTCAGTGCAATAAGTTTGCTTTTAATAATCAGTTTATTAATTATTTCTTTTCTGTAAGCAGGACTGGTTTGGGCATCAACATCTGCTTGGGTGTCATTTTGCAAAAAATAATTTTATAAAAAATAAAGAAATTATCTTTAAAACTTAAAGGTTGAGTATCAAATGGTTGCAATAATTAAGATGTCACAGCTCCGAGAAGATCAAATCTGGGCAAGCAACTCCGGGAATTTTTCATAGACAATCTGTCCTGGATATGTCAGGTCCTATCACTCACCATCTGACTGAAACAAAGATTGGAAATTGATTCTGATAGAGGAAGAGATGCTCTTTTTAATGGTCCCAAAAAGAATGAAATCTGAGATGACCAATTTTGAGACACAGTAGAGCAATCAATTGGAGACCGGGGTTGTTCGGAAAATCGATTTTTTGGATAACCGATTATGTATGAAAAATATATTAACCTATCCCATGTTGAAATTCGTTCAAATCCTGGCACATCCTTAAGTACCCTTTCATGGTTGCGCCAGTGCTGCCAACTAAAACACACACACCAACAAAAATAATATTGGAGTAGCCCAAGACATAGACAAATATTGCCACAGAACTAGCAGAAATTTAAATTTGCCAACTAGAAAGCTTTCAGTTAATTGACATTTCGGCTGATCGACATTTGGATAATCGATGCTCTACTGTATTTGTCCCTCAACATTGGTACAAATCAGCCTTGAGGCATTTTTACTTGAGCATGACTCTAAGTTGGAAAGATCATTCCTACTTACTTTACCTTTTCTGCAGAATATCCACAGTTAACTCTTTCATTTCAATAAAACATACATTTCACATGGATTTGAGACAGATAATAAAAAGATCACTGTCTTATATAATTAGTGTTTTTGCAACAGTACATTAAGACCCTACTTAACGCTGTCTTGATTAACGCTGATTCTATACAACACAGTCTGCTCAAAGCCTAAAAAATGCTCAAAATTTACGCTGATTTAAATTATCGTGGCATTTTATTAATTCGTATATAATATGATTATTTACAAACATGAACCAATCAGGAAAAGGTGGGAATTCATCGTATGTATGTATATAACATAAGTGTGTGTATNTTAAAACTTAAAGGTTGAGTATCAAATGGTTGCAATAATTAAGATGTCACAGCTCCGAGAAGATCAAATCTGGGCAAGCAACTCCGGGAATTTTTCATAGACAATCTGTCCTGGATATGTCAGGTCCTATCACTCACCATCTGACTGAAACAAAGATTGGAAATTGATTCTGATAGAGGAAGAGATGCTCTTTTTAATGGTCCCAAAAAGAATGAAATCTGAGATGACCAATTTTGAGACACAGTAGAGCAATCAATTGGAGACCGGGGTTGTTTGGAAAATCGATTTTTTGGATAACCGATTATGTATGAAAAATATATTAACCTATCCCATGTTGAAATTCGTTCAAATCCTGGCACATCCTTAAGTACCCTTTCATGGTTGCGCCAGTGCTGCCAACTAAAACACACACACCAACAAAAATAATATTGGAGTAGCCCAAGACATAGACAAATATTGCCACAGAACTAGCAGAAATTTAAATTTGCCAACTAGAAAGCTTTCAGTTAATTGACATTTCGGCTGATCGACATTTGGATAATCGATGCTCTACTGTATTTGTCCCTCAACATTGGTACAAATCAGCCTTGAGGCATTTTTACTTGAGCATGACTCTAAGTTGGAAAGATCATTCCTACTTACTTTACCTTTTCTGCAGAATATCCACAGTTAACTCTTTCATTTCAATAAAACATACATTTCACATGGATTTGAGACAGATAATAAAAAGATCACTGTCTTATATAATTAGTGTTTTTGCAACAGTACATTAAGACCCTACTTAACGCTGTCTTGATTAACGCTGATTCTATACAACACAGTCTGCTCAAAGCCTAAAAAATGCTCAAAATTTACGCTGATTTAAATTATCGTGGCATTTTATTAATTCGTATATAATATGATTATTTACAAACATGAACCAATCAGGAAAAGGTGGGAATTCATCGTATGTATGTATATAACATAAGTGTGTGTATTATATATATATATATTATACATACATTAAACATTATAATTAATTAATTGAATTAAACCATTGATACAGGGGGGAATAATAATACTACAATTAAACTTAAATGTATTAAATTCATATTTTATTTTATTTGCTGATTTTTCAGGAATTTTGTTTACACGAATCTGCATGAATTTTGGTATTTATACAAATGGAAAATAAATGTATGTTCGTTAATCAAAAAAATTATTTTAATTGAAAATTAATAAAATTTATGGCTATTTAATATCTGCCAACCATATTAAGTTTTTCCAATTATTTTTAAATTAAATTTTAAAATATTTAATAATTAAATAATAATTTGGGAACAAGTTATTGTATTAACCACATGAAAAAGCAACGTGATTAGTTTAGCGGCAAAGCAAGTTTTTAAAGCGACGACTTTAAAAAATTTTTCTTCTAACATCCTTAAACTTCTATAAACATTTAAATTCCAGAATTTTCTTTTAATTAAAATGAACAATTTGAATAATTTTAAATCGTAATTTTTTGTCATAGGTCTATATATCTATAGAACCGCTTGATTGATTAACGATCGATCCATAGTTCGATCAAAGGCAGCATTTGCATAAACATTTTTATAATCGTATAAAAAGAATAAAAATTGTTAATTTTATAAGTGAATTAATATAAATAATAATCGATTTGAAAATAATTTTTAAATTTTAAACCCCGACATTTATAATTGTTTACCTTTTTCCCCCTTCGCTCTTGAAAATCACGCGATCGGATCTGATCTGGTCACCTCTTAACCCTTGGGATAAACACAATCGATCCATAATTTGATATTTCAAACGACATCTAGTGTTGAACATATTTCTACCGAAAAAAATTTTTGAAATATTTTAAATTACAATGTATATTTGTAAGAATGATAATTAGTAAAATCTAATTTTAAAAATATTATCTAAACATAAATAAATAAATAATTGTATCGAAAATAAACACAAAACATTTTTAATATAAAATCTGTCGTATTAGTGAAGATTATAAACAAAATTATTTATATAAAACCTTATTTTATTTTTTATATTGAATTTCTAATGATATCATCGTTATTTAATGACAACAATTTGAATAAATTATATAATGAGCTTATAAATATATTGTAAAACTATCATCTTGTTGAAGTTAATTTAGAATGTTCAAAGGTTTAAACAGATTTAATACATTTTAAAATGCAAAAATTGATAAAAAGAAATCCGATCAATATCAAGAAATATCCAAAGACAGCTAAACAGAATTTACTTTTGAATGTTTTTTCCGAAAAAAAATTCAAAATTTTGGCTTATAACTACATCTTTTTGGCTTACAACTAATTTTTTTTTTAATGTCGCATTGATCTGTGTAATACTAATACATTTAAAATTAATATTTTTAAACATTTTCCGTAGAATTTTAGCTCTTAAAATTACAAATAATTTAAATATTTTTCTTTCAAATTGATGACGATTATAAAAACATTTTTTAAAAATTTCATTTATACTATTTATAATAAATTAACTTCGTTTCATTTTATTATCAATACTGATTTTTTTCAATGTTAATTGACTTTAACTTATGTAAATTGGAAATTATAAAAAAACTGGATAAATAAGGTTGGATAATTAAAAAAAATTACCTTGAAATTAATTATGTAATAACTGAAATGCAATATAAAAAGCATTGTTAATTAAATTTATTTAGAATTTCGTATTTTAAAAAATTCAGTAAATTTATTTTGATATTTATAATGTATAACGGATGTCATAAAGCCGTTAAAATAGCAAAGAAAAAAAACCTGAAATTCCTTTGTTACATATGAAAAAATTTATTATTTTTAAATGAAAATGAATTGTTTTTAATATAGATTATTTAATTTTGATAAGAAAAACACGTTTCCTTACATTCTTAAAATATTTTAATTACACGAAGTACATTTTTCAAAGATTTACACTGAATGTAATGTAAAAAACCAATTCGCTAACGCTGTCATACAATATAGACTTACTGATATTGTGCAAGATAGATTCTATTAATGCTCATAAACAGTTACATTTAATAAATAAAAGCCTAATCAGGAAATAACAGTACTGAAACGAAAATTGTAATAAAAAAAATCGTTTATTTTGTATTAAAAAATCGCTAACGCGCAGAAAAAATGCGCGCGCACAATATTTATCATTATTTAATTAATTTGATTTAAAATATTATAATGAAATTAATCTTTCAAATTATTATTAAAATTATTCGAAAAAAATTACGAAGAGCGTTGGTGTAAAGGTTATTGAACTCTGCGTCACGATAAGACACGATGATCATAAGAAACACTACAACAGCACTAGGAGTTACCGAGGAATTAATCCGGATTTGAGCATTAATTAAAAAAATAAAATATAAAAATTATAATAATTTAAAGTTTATTCATATATTTTGCTACAGAACTGATTATACAAACATTAAAATTTGTATATATACAAATGCGATAAGTCGAAAAAAATTGGCGTAAGGAAACCAAAACCTTAGCGACGTGTCGGTATACACGTCACAAGTTTAATCGCTAATCAGAGTTGCTTTTGTTTCTTGCAGTCTCCTCCCACCAGGTATCGAGAGGCGGGTGTCCCAACATTTTGATATATTCTCAGTAAAAGCGTTAAATTATGATTAATAATAAAGGTAAGTTATTTACAATATCATCGTTTCCGCTGGGATTAATGGATCGGAAATTATTTGCATCGACTTTTCCTACATAATTGATTAATGTGAACTGTATCGCGCTGTTAAATCTGTCAGGAAGTAGTAAACATTCAAAAAGTGGTTGTCTATTACGTTATTGAAATCGATTAATTTTGACATTTTGACCACGTGTTTCTGTAATATTTGCATATTTATGTATTTGTAATGCTTATAAGATTACGCAGAAAGCTTTACGTCGTTTTTAAAGGCTAAAAGTTCACTTACCTCTATTGAATTGAACCGTGAAAAGACGGGAAATTTTTTTTTATCATCGGTTTTTAAAAGTTTATTTTAGCATCAAAATTCTGTGTAGTTGATTAAATGTGTTGAAAGGATGTATCGGTTGATAATGAAATATTATTCGATATGTGTATTGATTAATTAAATATAAAACTTAAATTGTTCTATTTATCAATATTCACGGACAGCTATAATAATTTGGATATTCATATTAAGTTACTTAGGAGGAAGTTTCAGAGGTGAGGATAAAATTTTAAACTAGAAACATAATCATATCAGCATTGATTTTTATTNGTGAAGCTTCAACATTGCCAGCTGGTGATGGTGTTTCAGATAAAATATCTACAACTATCAAAAAATCTGATCATATGAATAATCTACCAAAAATTGTGAAGGAACGGGTAGTGTCTTTTTCAAAAAACATAGACAATGTTTGCATCTTTACTGGAGATAAATCAATAGAAGCTGATGATAAATCAGATGTACCTATTTTAGAAAATGTTAGTATAAAATTAAGTTTAATATGATAAAAATATATTTGTAAATATTACATATTAAGTGCTTTACAAATCAGATAAACTTTTATGACAAGAAAATTTACTTTCACAAATAAGTCATAATTTTCATATATTGAATTTTAACTTGAAACACTATATAGTTTAATTTCAAATTCATTAAGACTCACTGATAGTTGAATTAAGTTTAAATTAATATCATTGAATTATGTGTTTTTTATTATGGAATTAAATATGCATGGGCATCCACTGAGGGGGCAAACATGGCACTTGCCCACTCTAGAATAGAGTAAAAAATTATAACATAACTCAGTCCCTTTTAGGATTGAGATATGTAACCTTTTTTTTTTTTTACACCCCTCAACCATGGAACACTTTGATACAGTACTGTATTCTATATCTACTAGTGAAAAACCCAAAAAACTAAATAATTAAATAAAAATTTATTTATGTAATTATTTGTCTCCAAGCTTTGCTTCTGGAAAATTTTCTGCAGGTGCCTGTGTAAATATGCTAATCATCAGTTTTAAATTTTGTCATGTGTTAGGTTTCAATGTAGAGTTAACATTACTTTGTTTATATCTGTTTTCAATGGATGTTACAAAACAGATATTTTTTGTTTATATAATAATAGAAAAGTATTAAAATAAAGAAAATTAGCAAATGAAATAGATCAGGTACAAAATCAGTTTGAATTTAATAATAAAATTATTTATATTAAAAAATGTTATTAAATGAATTTTTCATGGCAGATAATCATAAATTCACTTAAATAAAGACTTATCATTTAAAAAAAAGTAATTATACTAAGATCTACAGATAATCTATTATTTAAAGATACAGAATTTCTGAATCACAAATTCATAAAAAAGTACATATTCAGTATTAGTTGTGAACAATTGGCAAGTTTTCTAATAACTGATAAAAAGTTTAAATCTTGATTATATTTCATGGTTTTATATTTGAATACATTGTACTGCATGTAAATTTTTTTTTATGCTGTTTGGATTTCATTGAATAAATGATTTAATTTTTAAATTAACTAGTGACTTTGTATTTCTAAAAGAAAAATATTATAAATCTATTAATTTTATTAGAAATCAAAGTTTGAAAATAGTAAATGTAATTCTCAGAAATTGCTCTTTACATTCTTTACTTTAAAAATCTAATTGCTTAAAAAGTAATTATGTTTCTAAAGATTTATAAAATATTGAATGAGAATTTTGAAATGTAATATTTTGCTTTTATAATTGCTTTTTTTTAATGTAAATTTTAATATTAAAAAATTAGGTATATAATGCCACCTTTTGTTATGTTTTATAATTTGAAATTTTAAAATTAATATTAAAATCATATATATTAAATTTTGGTTACTTCAATAAAATCATTTTTTAGATAAATATGTAAAATGTTAAGAGAATAGCTGTAACAGAAATCATGTTCACGTTAAGTTGAGATGCACTTATTCTGGTAAAATAATGGATCTTAAAGCTTTTTTTTATTTAAAAAAAGCCATAAAACAAAAAAATAAAAATTGCTTTATATTTGGGGTGGCTTAAGCAAATTTTAAGTGAAGTTGTAATGTTCAATATGACTAATATATTGGTATTTTGATAGTCTCAGTTAGGAAGTGGCAGAAGAATATAATGAAGTATTAGTCATATTAAACATTACAACTTTACTTGATAAAAATATTTATTTATTTATTTAAAAATACAGTAGAGCATCGATTTTCCGAAAGTCAATCTTCCGAAAGAATTCCAGTCGGCAAATTTAAATTTTCGCTAGTGCTGTGGCATAAAAACTTTATCTAAAAAATATTTGATAAATTTAGTAAAAAATATTTTATTAAATTACTAATTAAATAAGTATATTTAACAGCTGTAATTTTTCATATATTTAAAAGTAGCTTACAAGTTATAATTTTTAAATATTTGCTGCACAGTTTAAGACATTAACCTTGTTTTTGAGATCAGTATTTAAATCATGTTTCAGACATGGATATTTGTGTTGTGTTTTAATGGAAATTGCTGTTTGGGAAGTGTATTGTAACTGTAAAAGTATGATCTATAGCACTTAAGTAAACTAAAATAAAATTGATAAGTAAATAAGTTATAAATATAATATATAAAATTCTTATAATGTAAATAAAATGTTAAAAACAACTTTTAAAGTATATTTTATTTCAGGAATCATGAAGAAGATGAAAAATGTGTAATTTTAAGAAATGTATATTTATGTGATTTGTATGGATTAAAACTTGGGAAAATATGGCAGAAGGATTTTCATCTGAACTAATATCTAATGAAAAACCACATGTTGATCAAGAAAGTGTTGAATTGCATTCAATTGGCAGTGAAGCTTCAACATTGCCAGCTGGTGATGGTGTTTCAGATAAAATATCTACAACTATCAAAAAATCTGATCATATGAATAATCTACCAAAAATTGTGAAGGAACGGGTAGTGTCTTTTTCAAAAAACATAGACAATGTTTGCATCTTTACTGGAGATAAATCAATAGAAGCTGATGATAAATCAGATGTACCTATTTTAGAAAATGTTAGTATAAAATTAAGTTTAATATGATAAAAATATATTTGTAAATATTACATATTAAGTGCTTTACAAATCAGATAAACTTTTATGACAAGAAAATTTACTTTCACAAATAAGTCATAATTTTCATATAATGAATTTTAACTTGAAACACTATATAGTTTAATTTCAAATTCATTAAGACTCACTGATAGTTGAATTAAGTTTAAATTAATATCATTGAATTATGTGTTTTTTATTATGGAATTAAATATGCATGGGCATCCACTGAGGGGGCAAACATGGCACTTGCCCACTCTAGAATAGAGTAAAAAATTATAACATAACTCAGTCCCTTTTAGGATTGAGATATGTAACCTTTTTTTTTTTTTACACCCCTCAACCATGGAACACTTTGATACAGTACTGTATTCTATATCTACTAGTGAAAAACCCAAAAAACTAAATAATTAAATAAAAATTTATTTATGTAATTATTTGTCTCCAAGCTTTGCTTCTGGAAAATTTTCTGCAGGTGCCTGTGTAAATATGCTAATCATCAGTTTTAAATTTTGTCATGTGTTAGGTTTCAATGTAGAGTTAACATTACTTTGTTTATATCTGTTTTCAATGGATGTTACAAAACAGATATTTTTTGTTTATATAATAATAGAAAAGTATTAAAATAAAGAAAATTAGCAAATGAAATAGATCAGGTACAAAATCAGTTTGAATTTAATAATAAAATTATTTATATTAAAAAATGTTATTAAATGAATTTTTCATGGCAGATAATCATAAATTCACTTAAATAAAGACTTATCATTTAAAAAAAAGTAATTATACTAAGATCTACAGATAATCTATTATTTAAAGATACAGAATTTCTGAATCACAAATTCATAAAAAAGTACATATTCAGTATTAGTTGTGAACAATTGGCAAGTTTTCTAATAACTGATAAAAAGTTTAAATCTTGATTATATTTCATGGTTTTATATTTGAATACATTGTACTGCATGTAAATTTTTTTTTATGCTGTTTGGATTTCATTGAATAAATGATTTAATTTTTAAATTAACTAGTGACTTTGTATTTCTAAAAGAAAAATATTATAAATCTATTAATTTTATTAGAAATCAAAGTTTGAAAATAGTAAATGTAATTCTCAGAAATTGCTCTTTACATTCTTTACTTTAAAAATCTAATTGCTTAAAAAGTAATTATGTTTCTAAAGATTTATAAAATATTGAATGAGAATTTTGAAATGTAATATTTTGCTTTTATAATTGCTTTTTTTTAATGTAAATTTTAATATTAAAAAATTAGGTATATAATGCCACCTTTTGTTATGTTTTATAATTTGAAATTTTAAAATTAATATTAAAATCATATATATTAAATTTTGGTTACTTCAATAAAATCATTTTTTAGATAAATATGTAAAATGTTAAGAGAATAGCTGTAACAGAAATCATGTTCACGTTAAGTTGAGATGCACTTATTCTGGTAAAATAATGGATCTTAAAGCTTTTTTTTATTTAAAAAAAGCCATAAAACAAAAAAATAAAAATTGCTTTATATTTGGGGTGGCTTAAGCAAATTTTAAGTGAAGTTGTAATGTTCAATATGACTAATATATTGGTATTTTGATAGTCTCAGTTAGGAAGTGGCAGAAGAATATAATGAAGTATTAGTCATATTAAACATTACAACTTTACTTGATAAAAATATTTATTTATTTATTTTTATTGTAAATAAATTCATAAGAATTAAGTATGGTTTAAATTAGAATATTTTCATAAAGAATTACTATAGATCAAATAATAAAGATTTTCTTTTTCTATCTTAGAATTTAATTCTAGCTTCAACTTTAGTTGTTGATGCAAAAAATGGTCGTCATTCAGATTTTGAAATGAATGATAAAAGTGTGAGGTAAATACTTTTATTGAAACTTTAATATTAAAATTTTAAAAAATATTTTATCATGATATCTATATATGAATTTTGTAAACGAAACAATTTCTAAATAAATTATTGGTTTTTTTTTTGTCTAAATTTTTCAGAATGTATATAATATATCATCATAGTGGTCTTAGATACCTACTTTACTTTTTCATCTTATTACATCATTTTGTAGCTGTATTTGAAAAACCTGCTTTCAAAAGCTGGGAACTTCCATATTGGGTAGATAACTCATTAAAGTTTTTAAAAATTTGTGAAATTATAAATTAATGCAGTAAAAATATTGATGTTTATTTAACAACAGATGACAAAATAATTCTTTCTTCCATTTACAGGTTACAATGGCACTTGAGCTAGCATGTCTTTCATTTTACGTATTTCGTCTTCTGCATTTAGCTTCATTTCTTCCTCTTGATAAATTTTGGCGTGATAAGAAAAATCTTCTTATTTTATCTGCAATACTATTAACAGGTATAGATATGATCTGTTATGCTGTACTAGTGAATGCTGGACATTCTGATATTTCGGTTCGATGGTCAAGACCACTTCGTCCTATTTTTATAATAAACTTCAGTGAAAATAAACAGGTATAGTCTTTTATTTTAGTTAGTTGAATTTATAAAATCAGATATTTCTAAGATTTATTTTATATTTAAAAAATAAATCTCTACTGCATAAATTTATTTATTTAAATATCTTTTATTCAGACTCCAAATTTTTCTTATTAGAATATAAAAATTATATTTAATCTTATGCTTTATAATAAAATTTGTTAAGAATTAATTGATGAAACTTTAAAAGTTTATGTGTTAGTTTTGGAATTATTTTGGAATTTCTAAATTAAAATTCTTAATTGAATTCTGCTGTATGATTTTCTTAAAATACATATTAATATATAGATTAGAAAAAACATTATTATGTAGCCTACAGTGTATTATTCTGTATTAAATTGTGATTGAAGACACCATTTTAATGAACTGCTTTTCTAACTCAATTTTACAATTCTTAATAGTCTTAAAAATGAAGCCTTATTATTTTACTTTTATATTTTTTAGAAGTCTTAAAATTTAATTTAAGTACTTTTTAAGGATTAAAAGTTTTTACATTATTTTTATATCTTTTAATTAATAAATCAAATTGCTAGAAAGCCAAACTTTAAAAAAAAATGCATCATTCAGAGCCAATTACAAATAATAATTTGCTAAAAAATGATTTTCTCACTGAAAATAATTAAAATTGACTTAATAATAATTGGTTGTAAAGTTCATAAAAAATTACGAGATTATGAAATAAAAGGATTGTTTTAATCTCCCAGGAAATATGAACTTTAGTAAAAGAAAATGCTATTAAACCTAAATATTTACTGCTTTACTCTTAAAAAATAATTTTAAAAGCAAAAATATTTGCTTCTCCATCTTTTCTGTATGAAGCTCTTAGCATAGAATTTTTTTCTAATGTTCTTTTGTGTAAACGTTGTATCCTTCATTTGAATCATTGTTAAAAATTATGCCAGAAGATCTTTTAAAAATATACACAAGAAGAGTCCTAACTTTGTTCAGGATCAAAAATAACAGTTAGTGATGATGAGACCTGCACCAACATAAGTGACATAGTCTATAGTCTTGTACCTGTAATAATTTAGATATAGTTTTAAGCTATAATGAAATTTAAAATAAGCTATTTTATATAAACATAAAATGTAAATTTTATATACAGTGTTTCTCTTAACAGAAAATTACAGATGATTATGTAATTAACCATTAATCCCAAATTATCAATTTTAATCCAATATCAACTTGCTGGATTTGTTCAGCAATGTTTTGGTTTTAGTTAAATTAATAGTCCCAAATATTGGTGATTCAGACAACTAGTATTTGGATTAATATAGAGATATATATTAGCTTCTGATAAGTAAATAGGTAATAAACAATTATTAAAAAGTAAAGATAAGAATTGATAAGTAACAATTCTTTATTTCTCTTAAGTAAACATAAGCATTCAAACTAGAATTATGAATTATCAAAATTAATTTGCTTAAATTAAATAAAAGAGATAATTCTTAATTTTTTTAGCTATTTAATAATTGTTTTTATTAAATAACTAATAATAATTATTACATTTTATTTTACTTGTACATGAATTGATGACTGATTTAGCTCAGTATTTTCTCACAATTTTATGCTTATAAAATATTTTAAAAAAAATATCATCTGTCATTTGTAATAATAAATTTAAAGTATGAGGCAAAAATAAGTTAATCAAAGAATGAAGCTTGATTTATTATCAAGTTACATTTTAGCTAATTAAATACTATTCAGATATTATAGATTTCAAATTTTTCTTTAATATGCTGAAATTTCTTTTTAATTTAAATGTTCATTTGTTAATTTATGTCTGCTTTGAATGTTTTGAATCCATTTACATTAAATATTTATGTTTTTGGAGTATAAATTTATGGCAAAGCTCTGTAATGGATAATTTAATAAAGATTGAAGTTTTAAAATTATTTTATATTCAATAAAAAAAGTCTGAATTACTGAGTGAATTTGAAAAACTTTAAACAAATTAAGAAACAGAATTAATATTTTTAATACCCATAAAGTTATGTTCAATTATAAGAATAATAAATTTTATTAAGATTTCAAATAAACTTTATTCCTGTTAAAATTATTTTAGGTAAGAAGAGCATTTCGAAATATTAGGAGGACATTGCCCGATATTCTGAATGTTTTGATCCTGTTCTTTTTAAGTATAGGATTATTTTCACTTATGGCTCAGAAATTATTTAAAAAAAGGTAATAATTATGAAGAATTTCATGAAGCTTTATTATTGTTAGAATAATACTTTAATTTTAGGAATGTAGAATGTAATGTTTTACTTATGTAATCAGATATTTTAAATTGAGATTATATTACAATAATGTTTGAAATTTAATAATAAATGAACAGTAATTTATATTAGATACAAAGTTTATTTTATAAAATGAAAAATTCAAATATTTTATAATTATGAACTATAAGAATGTTTGAAATATTACTATTAATGCTAATATTCATTGACTCCTTTTTTATTTGAGTGATGGGTTTAATTTAGTTAATGTCATGTTTGACTTCATTTCAGTTATTTATCTTTTACTTTCCCAGTTCTGTTATATATAACAGAGGGAAACTATGGCAATTGGTCAAGAAACAACCTTGAAGATTTTTACATTTTTGGACTCGGGACCTTAAAATGTCAAGAAATTCAAAAAAATTTGAGGATTTTTTTGTGTGTATGAATGTTTGTGTGCACACCTGTGATATGATTTTGTTCGCCCTCTTTGAAGGTTAATAATTCCTGTTCTTTTTGTTGAAAATTTCTGAAATTTTGTAGGGAGGTTTATTAGTGGGATTGATGATATTAAATTTTGGTGATCTAAGGTCAAGGGGTGGGGAGATAGTGGAGGTCATGTGTATCTCCAGTTGGGTTGGACTTAATGATGATTTTACTCATTACAGTCAACTCCCCTATAACACTGTTGATAATTCCATTTTATATGACTTCCATGTTGTATGAGTTACTTAGATTTTACAAATACATGAGCTGTCCACAGCCCGGCATACATATTTGTAAAATCTAAGTGACTCATACAACATGGAATTCATATAGAACAGAATTATCAACAGTGTTATAGAGGGGTCAATTGTATTAGCATTTACAATTTTTTACAAAACCCATCCCTACCCTCAAAATTAAGCTTTTGCCATTTTATAATAGTTTATTAAAAAAAACTTTTATATTTTTAAATGTAACAGTTAGTGATAACAAATGTTACTGGGAAAGTTAAGCAACTCATTGCTGGATTTTTTTGTTAAGCAGTACATTCAACACCAATAAAATCCAGCAAAATTTAACAAAAATTTAATAACAAACTTTTTCAATTACATTTAGCAGTTATTTGTAGGTTGTTGAATGTTCTAAAATAGAACATTATTTTGAATATATAAAAATTTTTAAAATTAGAATAGGAATCTGATTGAATAGGGCCAGTAACTGTTTTACTGATGTTGATTATATTGTTTAATATCACATCTAGTTTTTAAGTCTACAACGTGTTTAGTTAATTTTCAATTATATTTGTATGGTTGTAAAATTTACATGTGTTTGGTCATGTGTTTTTCATTTTTGTATTTTTTAATAATTTTTCAACATTGATATAAATTTGATATGAAACCAAAAGTGCATGTGAACAATAACATTTTTGAACAAATAGTTCAAAATTTAACAAATGATAATGTGACTTTTGAAGATTGAGATGACAGTGATTTGTTTGAAGAACATAGGCTGTCATAATTTTGACATTCCATCAGAGCAGAGTTTGACAGAAGAGAAAGCAGAAGAAGAATTAGAAGATAATGGATAGGACGTTGGAAAAGATAGAATCTTGAAATGGTGTAAAAAGGAGTATACTCAAAACAATTATACAAGTGTTCCTCTGAACAATTATTTACTGCAAAAAAATGTAACTCTTATTGATAGTCTGAAGAACAATAAGAAAGAAATTCCACAAAAATTTTTACCAAAAATGAAAAGAGCTGTTGGATCATTTTTACTTGGATTCCAAAAAACACTTTAAATCTTTGACTTTGTTTCCCACAAAAATAAAGTTGTAATTTTATTTTCATCATTACACTACAAAAAGAAATTGATATTACTACTAATAAACCAGAAATCATTATGGGATATAATGAAACTAAAGAAGAAGTGGACATTGTGAAGTTCACACAAAATGTATGTAGGCCAGAAAAGGAAAGACGTATCAATAACTAAGCAACAGTATGGTCAAGTAAAGTATTTTATTTCACGTATATGAACAGGATTTTTTTAGATTCCAACTTTGCAGTAATTTATCACAATATGACATCAAACGATATTTCGGCAGACAATGACAAAATGTATCATTCACGACAAATATAAATGGTGACCGAAAACTATGACTAATACTTATGTGCTAACTTAAAACTAGGGAAAGAAAGATGATGGGAATAGAGAATCTAGGAAAATAGAATACAGTAAAGAGTGAAATACCCAGGGTTTTGCTGGACTTCACAAATTTGGGTGGGATACCACGTTGAACTTTTTCTGAAAAGTCTATTGTCGTTACCTTCACTAGGTTTCTCTTCGCACCTCATTACATCTTTTTATTGTAACTACAATAAAAATCCAATTCTCTTCTCAAACTCTCTCAAATTCTCCAGTTGTTGCCATTTGCAACCTGGAGTACCACATTAGACGTCTGTCCTCCTTGAGGTCTGGTCCAAAGAATGTTCTTTATTTTACTGGCCCCAGGGCTTCTTTTCTTTCATTGTTCTTTGTGGTTCCAAGAATTGGTCACCCCACTCAAGGGAAAAGAGTTAGAAAGGAAAGTTCTGGATGGAAGAAGAATCAAAGAACAAAGGAGAGGACTAAAACTATACTTAACCCTAAATAATTAAACTTAAATTCTAGTTACGTTATAACTACACATTTGTTGAGTGGACTACGCATTAAAAAATGTTAATATCAACAAAATTGTTTAATAAAAATAAAAACTTGTTACATGGCACAATAGTATGGATAAATAGGAACTAAATAAGGACAAAATATTTAGGAAATAAGATTACATGCAGTTGCTACATATGTAATATTATGCGGGCCGCAAAATGCATTTTTGCATTTCATGCAACAGTGTTTTGTCATTTGTCGAACTTTCGATGGACATAAATAGCAAATTTTATGCAGATTTGATGCAGAATGAGTAGGAGCTTTTACACTGGGCACATCACCTAGAATATCCTGTATTATGGTTCTGATATCACGCCTCAAACGCACTGTCTGTAACCGCTGTTGTAGCCGGGGCTCCATGAGTCTGTCTCCCATCTTCATAAAGAAATTCCACCAGGACATCGGTTTTTTTTTTTTTTGTTTCTGACCAATAGGTTTAGCATATTATAAAACACGCATATGGCCACCTTTTGGTTTTGTCTCATATTTGAACACATTTGATCTACTGTGTCTATCACACCTTTTGTACTATTAAAAAATGTATTATTTGTGGTTTCCTGTATTTTTATTGATGTTAAGTTGATCATGAATAGTTGACAAAACATAAACAACTTTATTTGACTTGGCTTTGTACGAAACTAATCTCTTATTGCCGTCGTAACAAAATATTGAAGTACCAATAGCGCGTGATTTATAATATTTTAATTTTTCAGGAATTTCTCTTTTGTTACTTCTAAGAGTGCCAACTAAGGTCAAATTATAAGATGACTTCAATAATTCATCTGCCAAAGATACAGATGTGAACCTGTTATCCATAGTAATGTTACAGTTTGTTCCATGTAAAAAAGATGTTATTTCCTTTATGAAAAACATAGCCAATATTTGTTTCTGAGGATCAGTACCTTTTCCCAAATAGGGAATGGCATTTATCACATACTAACTGTTTACATCTGCAGCCACAACAATGTACATAATGTACATGACTTTGCAACAAAGTTACGTAGTAACTGAACTTTTGTCGAGCAGACTACGGGATGGCCATAAGTCAGTTTCTAATTGACATGTGAACACATTTACATCACAGATGGCACTATTTATTCAAATTATTAAGGTAGAAAAAGAATGACCAGCAGGAAGCGTGGGAAAGTTTCTGAATTTCACGTTCGAGCAGAGATGCGTCATTGTGTGGACGAATAATTAGTTATCTAGGGTTAAATTACAGAGCACCAACCTCAAGGTGAAAGCTAAACATACAGCACTTCCAATGATTCTATCCAGTACCGGTTCTAGGCTGTTAGCCGCCTGCCTGCTAGATATCTGGCCGCCCTCGCCCATTATGTGAACTGCGAGTAGATGTATAACTTTACTAGTGGCATGCTGTATTTGGAAGTGGTGGAAGCACTGCTTCCCTTGTATTTTCTGAAATATAAAGACATATTGTGCGATTATTTTCATATTTTAACATACTTTAAGTTAATTAAAATTAATATTTTATTATAACCGCATTATGTATCTTATTATAAATTTCTATACTACATGTGAAAAAAACGATAAGATAGCTATTATATATTTGAATATCAGTGGCAGAATGAATGAATAGATCACGAGTAGATTTATAACTTAATCCACTGATAGGAGTTTACTGGTATATGATAGTTCTGTATAGTTGACAGGAGTTTAAAAAAATCATTAAAATATTTGATATATTTATTCTGCTTTTATTCTACTCTCCCATCTTGTATTACTTACAGATTTTAATGTTAAACTAGTGATATTACGATTTAGTATGTCCCATCTATAAGGGGCTGCAGGAGAAAATGTGTACAATTCTTGTACAATGTTAAAAAATTAACCGTTACTTTGGCAACATCATTTACAACTAAATGTAATGAATGAGATGCACAAGATACAAAATACCTCTAGAATTTATTTTCCTTAAATTTATGATTTATATATCCATTGTCATAAAAATTTGTTTTTTCACTACTTTCCCAAGACTACAAATATTCAAGTACAAAGTAACCAGTTTCAACTTATTTCTACTTAAGAAGTAGTTAAATAATTAAGAGATTAGGGAATTAGGGACATAAATAAAACCCTGCTTTAAGAGCCGGAATTTTACTTAAACAAAAGCTTAACCAAACCAATCTCTAGCCAAGTACAGTGGGGACTGATTTCGTAATATTAGATAATAAAGACAGAAATTTTTCCAGTTCAATGAGAGTGACTGAAAATTATATTTTGGAAATTTCCATGGACACCTGGTCCTAA